TAATAATAATAATAATAATAATAATAATAATAATAATAATAATAATAATAATAATAATAATAATAATAATAATAATAATAATAATAATAATAATAATAATAATAATAATAATAATAGTAATAATAATAATAATAATGATAATAATAATAATTAATAATAATAATTAATAATAATGATAATAATAATAATAATAATAATAATAATTAATAATAATAATATTTTTTTGTTTTGTCTCTGTTTAGATGGACCAAAATATCTGGTTATAATCATTTCAAGAACAGCATCATTCAATATCCGAGACGCAATTCGAGAAACATGGCTTAATCCTAATAATTCAAATCTTTTGAGGGTTTGTTGTTTGTGGAGGAAAAAAAACTATTCAGAGATAGGAAATAATTTGCCAATGAATGATAAACAAAAGTCTCAAACCAAAGTAAATGCTAATTCCTGTGTGAAGTATATAAAAATTTAAAAACAATTAAATTTGTCATCAATTATTGAATTTTTTTCTAAATGATTTTATTGCTCTTTAATAATTCGAAAAAAATCTATGTTTTATATAGGAATTGCATCTTTTGTCAATGTATGATTTGATTAATTATTTGAACTATCCAAAATATTAAAGTAGCAGAATTACAATTACTGTAATTTTTCACTTCATGTTGATTTCATAATTAGCATCATGAGCTAATAAATTGTTATTAATTATATAAAATATATTTTCGACATTTTTTTTCGTCCAAAGTCCATTCCAAATCTAATCTATTGTTCATTTTCTACAGGAAGGATTTACTGCTGCATACTTTCTGGTAGGCATCAAATATGATAGTACGGTAATGATGAAAATTATTGAGGAAAGCAAAAAATACAATGATTTGATTGTCACATCGCTTACCGATATTTATGATACTCTGACACTTAAGGTTGAATTAATCAAATACTGTTTCCACTTGCTTCAATGCATTTTTATTACATTTTTTTTCTTAATTTTTGTAAATAATTTCTCAAGTTATTGGATGAATTCTTGAAAATTTAAATTTATTAGGTTTATACAGCAATGTATTTCAAGCAACAATATTGTCAAAATATCACATATTATGTCAAAGTAGACGATGATGTCGTGCTTCATCTAGATCGTCTTAATCAGCAAGCTAATTCATTTTCTAATTTAGCTCATATTTATGGAGCTATACGTTACAAAGATCCTGTCGTCAGACGACGAATGGATAAATAGTGCGACATTTTATGTTTTATCTTGATTTTGCTGAGAATTTCATAAAATTATTATAATGAAGATAATTTTACGATAATCTTCCTATTAATTCAGCATTTCATTTTTCTAGTTCAGTATTTGATTTTTTCAAATTCAGTATTTTTTCTCCAATTTTCCAGGAAAAACAATACAAAAAAAACTTTTCTTTCCTTCCTTTCTGCTAAATATTTGCATTTTGTCCATAAGAATTAATTTTATTATAATATCAGATTAATTAGTATTTGATTTTTCCAGTTATATGCCTTATAAATGTTATCCACGAGATTTTTATCCACCATTTGCGCCTGGTATGATGTATATCATACCCATAGAAGCATTCCGGAAAATATGGCAAACATTACCGACGGTTATTTGGCTAAATTTGGAAGATATCTTTTATACTGGAGTTGTTGCTGAGATTGCGGGTGTCAAACGCATCAATATCAATTTCATGTATTCTGCAGATAATGTTCAGGTTAAAAGGATGATGAAGCAATGTTTTTTTTTTTGAAATTTTACAATTTTGAAATAAAAAAAAATAGAAGTACTCTTCAATAAGTAACAGATTAGAATAAAATAAATGTATTGGAAGAGATAAAATGTCATGCTTTAATCTTATATAATCATGAAAATTTATAAATCATCCATAGTATGGCGATAGAAAAAAAGAATTACATTTTACAAAATCAAAAATCACTTTCTTTTTTTTTTTCAGAGTTTACCTGATCAATGGGAATGTGATCAGTATGGCCGATCAAAACTTGTCGCAATATCATCATTTTCTAATTCTCATGATCTTCACAAATTTTACAAAAAATCACGCAAAATCAAATGTTTAAAATATAAACATACAAAATTTAATTTCATCAAAATATTTTCACAAAAATTAAAAAGAATCTTTTCCAATTTATATCGTTCATTAATTATCCACAATATTACAAATCAATAAAATTAAAATTCTATGACCGTATAGAGCTCAAATTAGCATAATATATACATGTAAGCAATATTTCTTATGATAAAGTGATATTGAAAAGTGATACGGAACATTCTATCTTCTCAGTTATTTCAAAAAATCTTGGCAAATAAAAAAACTGACTGTTTTAACATCACGTAATGTTGTGAATTTTATGAAAATTACATACAAAGAATATTCTTATCAAACCAAATGATAATAAACTTTATTAAATAATTTCAATAAAGGAAAAAAACGGCAAAATATATCACTGAAAAAAAAAGAAAATGTATATGTATAATAAGCAAAAATAAAAAATAAAGATAAAGCGATCAATCAATAATGTCAAAAAGCAAAAAGCGATCAGTCAATAATGTCATTTATAAATGTTACGAAGTTTTGGAATGTTCTAAGAATCATTCTCTCATAATTTGCTCCATAATAAATGATGACATAATACTGAGCTCTAAATAAAATTAAAAAGAAAAGGAAAAAAAGAAAAAAATCAACAATATATAATCAGAAACAGTCTTGGATACAGCAATAACATATTTATGTAAATATTAAATAAGTAGCAAAATTTTTTGCATATAACAAATGTTTTATTGTTTAAATATAGCAAGCTTTTATAAATAATTTACATCAAATTTGATGCCAATTATGTATTCATGACATCATTCGAAATAAAATGAAACGTACAACTATTCAATGTTATTTATTATAAAATAGTACATTTTTAACAAATTTTTGCACCATGCTAATTAAGTCAAACAAATTTTAAAATTCAAATTTCACTACAAAAACTTGATAATGGTGCATAATTTGAATTATGAAATGTTTACACCTATATTTGATTTGGAACAAATGAAATTCAAAATTGATTGTTAAATCAAACCTTCAGATATTTTTACAGTTAAATACTATTTAAATGCATTTCACAAAATCCATTTAACTTACAAATGTGATGGTATTCGTCGATAGACGACACGATGATCGTTAATGACTGGAATACCAGCTTCATCATTTACAGTACTCCACCATTGTGATCGACAAGAACGATCAAGAACTGCCGTATTTTCATGCTCTACAAATTTCATTGGATGTAATCCAAATGATATTACCTGAAATTGGAATGAAATATCCAATTTGCAAAGCACTACTAACTTTCATTTGAATAGAATAGAGTAAATGGAAAATAAAAATTAATGAAATTGAGTTTTTTAATGCATGTCGTATATTTGCTCCCACTGGAATATTCATAGTTTGGGAAATGAGAGTCAGATGAAATTTCCATTAAATTCGATTACATCCTTTCAGATGATGAACATAAATTTTAAGCAAACTATAAATCAATCAATAAAAAATAAATATCTGATCAATTAAATCACAAATAATGGGTATAATGTAATTGACAAATTAAGTGAATTTCATCAGGCTCTTTATGATTTACTGAATGCGAAGAACGGTTACGGAAAATAAAAGAACAAACTTTCTGGCATAATTTCAGCTCACTTCGATCAGCTAATCCGCGCTGACGATGCTCTACAAATGTGAATTGATTATTGAAGAATCCGGAAGCATCCAGAACGGTGAATGATGCTAAGGTTCCATCATGACTTTGAACACCAACTGATGGTAAGCGACGAATCTTTGCCTCAAACTGATCACGATCACCATGTGTTGAAAATTTCCAACAACTTGCTATCGTATCAGCATGACGCTATAAAGAATGATCAAAGAAATAAGACAGAGAACAGTTTTAGTTATTATAAATTTAGTTTTATTAAAAATATCATATGATGATGAACAAACCTTCGGATCGAGTTCCAAAAATGAATAACCCTCAGCAAGTTTAATATCCATATTGATAATTTGTCGTTGTTTATGTTTGTCTATGATGAAATAATTGGACAGATAACTTGGAGCTGAGAAATCAAAATGAGTTGAAAGCAGTTCAGTCATTCGACTAAAAATTATTGAATGAATTAAGAACTTAAAAACTGAACTAATTTAATTTCTGTGAAAAATTTTATACAATAAGCTAAACATTTTATCATAAAAATTTGGAAAATATTGAATGATTAATGGTTCCCAAGTGTGTAACATCGAAAATATATATATGATTCGCAAGGATAATACTGCATAAATAGAACAACCTATGATTGTTCTTATCACTATCTGATAAACTATCATGGTTAAAAGTTTTGATTAAAGTTCATTTTCAAACTTAACAGATTTTATTATTTTTGAACTTTATACTTCTTATTATAAATAACAAAGCTCAAATATTCCCTAATGAAGAAAAGATTTCGAGTAATTCTAAACAGATTGATTATCATGTACTAAATGATAAATATGATAAAAGTTCAAATGATAAGAAATATATGAGAGAATAGGGAAAGGAAAAAAGGTTTGAAAACCTGCTTAAATGTATGCCAAGTATACGTGCAGCAAATTGATCTAATTTGAGAAGATATGGAATTGCATGTATTAAGAATGCATCGATATCGTCAACATCAATAAAACGTTGTATACGACTGCATATAAACACATGTGCTCTAAAGTAAGCTTACCTGTACATATTCTCATCCATTTCTTCCCTCTCTCTCTCTCTCTCTCTCTCTTCTTCCCTTCAAATATCTTGGTTCCTATATTATTATCATTATTATCATTATCATCATCATCATTATTATCATCTATTATTCTTAAGAATTCACATAATTTCTCTGCCTTTTTTTTTCGATTTTCCTATTCTTCACTAAAATCAAAAAAGCTCTTTTTGATCAAACGTAATTTTACAAATTTTATGTTTTTTCTTTTTATTCGATTCATAAAAAAGAAAGAGAAAGAGAGAAAAAGTGGAGGAAAAAATCAATGAAAACAATAATATAAAGGGGAAAAAAAGAAAAAATCATATTACTATTAAGAAATTACCAAAAAGAATGAATAAAAAAAATTCCCTCAAAAATTTCGCAATTTTATAAATTAAATTATACTTCCCCTTGTAAATAACCTTGTAAACTTATTGCGCCGTATTACCATCCATATGAACGGTGTCTTTTCCGGATATCCAAATATTGTACATTTTGCTTCCGGAAAAATACCTAAACGTTCATGTCGTATGGAATAATGTATTGGTAGGAGAAAGATCGAATCATTTGTTAACTGTTCAGCTTCCTTCAATTCATCGGCTGTTTCAAATACTCTTAGCATTCCAATTTAGAAAAAAAAAACCTGAAATGTGAAGAAGCAATCAAATTTGTTTATAATAATTAACAAAATTCTCAAATTTTAAATTAACTATTCTAATTAAATATTTCAATACTTCCGTACAATTACAGAATATTATGTGATTAATTAGACAATTTTGCAAGAGAAAAAAAAAAGAAGGAAAGAATAAATCCTGCCATTTCCTGAATTTTTCGATTTTTCAAAATTATAAATAAAACCATATAAATAGATGATAATAAAAAGAATGAAATTGATAATTGATTAATTCACAATGTATTATTTGGAACATATGTTAATTATCAATTAACAAATCTTATATTTCTGTCTTTAAAAAGTTGCATTAAAATCTCACAGAAAATTTCACGGAAATTTTGCCCTCAAAAAAAAAGAAAAAATTGAAATTGAAGAATTGAAATTGTTTAATTTCGATGATAATTTTTATAACGAATATAATAAAAGAATTGTTCAAAGACAGTTTTTTTCTCCATAACTTTTTGATTTCTCAAAATTATAAAATGCCAATTACTTTTTCGCATTTTTGCTTTTTACATTGAAACAAATAATGAATGATTAAATGGTAGAAAAAAATTGGATATTTACCAAGCAATATTACATTTGTAAAAACATTTGAAAATTACTATTGACATTTTCACCTCCCAATACTTTTCCTGACATTATAAACATCCAATTAAATGAAAAATATTTTAAAAAAAGTTACAGTAAAAAAAGTGAAAAAACTTCAGTAAATGAATCTGTAATAAAAAGTTTTAAAAAATTTCACTTAGAAAAAGAGAATTGCAAATTTTGCAAAGTGTTTTTATTGCTTAAATTTATTTTAAAAAAAAAGAGGGAAAATTGCAATAAATGTTCATATGGTAAATTTAACTATTAATAGAAAAGGAATAGAAATCCTCTCAAGATCCCTCTTAAAAATTCTCTTAATGAAAAATTAATTGTTATTATCAAGAAAGATAATATGAATGAGTGAATATTTTGCCAATGAAAAAACAAAAACGAAAAAAAAAAAAAGAAAGAAAATCATAAAGATATTGTTAGTTCGTTAGCTACAATAAATTATTATTCATTACATTAGCATAAAAAGAAGTAATTAGTGATAAAAAGTTGCATTTGATGATTACTGATAAAAAGTATAAAGTGGTGCCTATTTCATTGCCTAAATTTATTTCGAAAAAAATAAAATAATAATTAAATTTTTATTTGTTAGATTTAATTTTAAAAAAAGGAGAAATTGGAGGAATTTTTTATTTTTTAAATTTATAAAAGCGGGAACTGAAAATGGCCTACTTTGGCTTATTGTAGGCAAAATGCACAATGCTATAGTAGGAGAAAAGGATTTTTGTTGTTTAATAGCAAAACCGGAGAAATGAGATGGTTGAAAGGGTGAATGAAGTAGAAGCGGGAAAGAGAGACCGCGAGAAGCGGGATGAAGAAGAAGGAAAAGAGGCGGCGGGGAAGCGGGTGGATGCTGTTTTTTTTTACATCATCCTCAAGGTTATATAGAAAGCGAGGAAATGGTGGAATTTAATTTAAAGCAATTTAAAATATCTTTCTTACTGCAGATATGAACATTTCTTTAGGTATAAAAATTAATATGAAAAGAGAGGGAGAGAGAGAGAGAGAAAGAGAGTAAGAAAGAAAGAGGAATGGAGAAAGAGAGGAAAAGTTTATAGGTTTTTTTTTTCAAATGAAAAGAATGAAAATGTTAGTGTTACTTAAATTAAATTAAGGATAACGGTAATGAAGGAGTGTTGTGATGGGAAATTTTTTATTTCTAAATAAAACTCAACCGAAATTAAAAAATTTTTAAATTTAATTTTGTTTTTTTTTTCAATCTATAAAATTAAATAGCACTTTCGATTAATTCCTATCAATACTTTAGAGATGTTAAGAGGAATGTATGGAAGAAATTAAAGGGAAATGAAACTTCACTGATATTTGAAATAGTTGTACTATAATTGTACTATAATTGAACATGAAATTAATAAGTTCAATATTATCAAAATCAAGCATGCTGCTAAGTTAATTAATTGTAAAATCGATAACATTATTAATTCATGTACGATAAATTAAGCTAATCTTTCCCTTCAGCAAAAAAAAAAGATCAATTCCAAACTAAAATTTGTTTTTTCTTTTTAAATTGTGAAATCTATGAAAAATTAAGAATGTAGGCTTTTTTTTTCGATCAAAAAGAAGTCGTGACTTATTTTATTTCATAAAATACGGCAAAAAAAATGTTTAATTAAGATTTCGCTATTAAAATTAAAAAAAAAAGAAAGGTGCTATAACTGAATTCTGCGCCCATTTTTCCTAGATCAAAGATCATTTTTGTGATGATCTTCAAAAATGAATTTGATTTCGTTTTATTTTCTAAGGTAAAAAAAAAAAAGGACGAAAAGAAGATGACATTCTATTTATTTCAATATATCAAATGGTATATTTAATTGACAAAAATATTGGTTCAATTTTCCGGAATACTTTTATCCAAACGAAAATGAATTAGCAGACAATCTTTTCTTTCTCTCTTTTTCCGTTTTATTTTTTCTCTTTCTCAATGGCAAATTTTTGCAAAAGTTTATAAATTTCAGGGTGACTGGATAAAATGATAAGTTTAATGAGTGATAATGAGAATTAAATTTAACAATAATTCGATACATTCAGATTTTATCAATTCATTCATTACATATCTGTTATTTGATTAATTGATTGATTGATTGATTAATTGTTAGCAACATTTGGAGCAATCTTAGATAACAGTTTAGGAATAGCTGGTAAATTGTTCCCAAATTAACAAATGTGTAATTTTTGATAATAAATAAAGTAATTAATGATTATATAAAACAATGAAATGAAAAGCAATTCATTTTTATATATTTATTTAGAACAATCTTCTCCCATTCATATTATATCCAGTTAAAGTGTAAATGATTACCACATACTTTTTAACCATTTCATTTCATATTTAATTTATAACAACATATATTAATTGATTGATTGACTAACTGATTGATCGATCGATTGATATATAAACATATTAATTAACAAATTAATTTTCACACACCAACATATTGATTAATCGATTAATTGATTTATATAGACTAATTGATATATGACAATAAATTGATTAATTAATATATACGTATAACTATGCACATTAAAGTAGAACAATTTCCCAAAATTTTGTTTAATTTATAAAGGAAAATATAAAAAAAAATGAAAAATGAAAGAGAAAGAGAGAAAGAAAATGTAAAAGTAGGAAAAAAAATGACAGCTGCGTAAATAGTAAACAAAAGATTGATGATTATGTTAGGGTTAGAAATGATAATATGTTTCTTATCAAATATTACCAACAATCATTTGACCTTTTACCTTTCCTTTTTGTATTTATATATCATCTGTTTGCTACCATAGCAATAGAATGAATAATACAGATGGGAAATGAGTGAAATGTATTTTGAAACACGAATTTATCCAATTTCGATTCCAAATGCATATATATATATGAATAGGAATAATTAAATTCATAAATAAAAAGTTTCGAATTTTCGATCAACATCCATGATTATTTCGCATGTAATATTCGTTTATTTTGCTTCTATTTGATTGTATTACTCTACATCACATGTATTATGCGCAGATATAGATAGATAGATAGAGGGATGAATGTATGTGATAGTGATATTATCAGTGATATTATTTGTATACATTAACGATAGTGATATTATCAGTGATACATTAGCGATAGTGATATTATATTATCAGCTATCAACAATTAGTTAAAATATTATGAGAAATTTGAAGGAATAGAAAAAGAGAGAAAAGGAGAGATGAAATGAGAGAGAATGAAAAGGAAGGGAAGAGAGGAATGTTGAGAGTTGATTAAAGGATATGAATAAATCGAAATGAATTTTGTGAACAGTTCAATCCAGCAAAACAATAATTCCTGTTTTTATTAGCATACTGAATGGAATTTATTAGCTGAGCGTAGGCAGAGTAAATTTGAAAAAGAAATGAAAATTTGATCTGTAAAGTATACAAAATGAAAAAATGAAAGAATATTAAAAATGAAGAGAAAAGGAGAAAGAGGGAAAGGGAGAGAGAGACAGAGAAAGGGAGGAAGAATTAATATGAATTATTTAAGTAAATATTTATGAGGATAATATTTTTAACAAATAAAAATATTACCTTTAATTGTATTAAGTATTTATATTAGTAATTGTATTATTAGAAAAAAAAGTGAAAGATAATCTTAATTAATCATTTTGAAATTTCCTGTTGATAACAATAATAGTATAGATTGATCAATTTTTTGATTAAAATAGTAAATAATTTAAAACAATTATTCGAAGTATATGTTTGAAAGCTTTTGCCTTTGAATGAAACTTTTTAAAACTTTTTTCACCATTTTCTGATGCATTTGTCTCTCTCTCCCTCTTTCTCCCTCTCTTTCTCTCTCTCATTCTCTCATGGATAAACTTTGCAGACGAAAATTTGGGAAGAGCTCTATCCATGCTCACTACAAAATGTGGGTGTATACCTTTCAATCTGCGCAATGGGTTTTTTAGGTGTGCGCAATTGTCCTCACCTTTCACTCCTATGGTTTATCGCAGCAACAGTTATTCTTCCTTAGATGAATGGCCTTACAAGGCTAAACAAGCTCCTATGGTTGTCGAAAGGTTAGCGAGTCTATCCAGCCCGAGGAACCACTTTGTCTGACTCTTCAGTTGACACCTGTCTAGCATAGGAAACCTTACCGGAAGCATAAGCTATTGCTAACGTAGCTCGTAACATCATAAGAACATGTAAGCTTCTTCCTCGCGACATTGGGATGTCTGTTCGTAATGCTAGCCTTAATTAAGTTCCCTAATCCCTAATTAATTGTGATCAAGTCCTTGGTACTAAATCCTTAATTAAATACTTTAATGCTCGAACCTCAAGCACTCTAATCAAGAAACTGACACCAGTTAACAACACACACCCAAAAATACGTTTTAATTTTCCTTTTATTTATTTACTAATCTTTACCTGTCCTTAAAACAATAAAACAAAACCTGCGCTTAAACTTAAAACATTAAATGAAATAATTTGAAGAGCAATTAAGCAATTATCAATTATCAAATTACTATCGTCAATACTACCGTCGCATTGTCAAACATTGCGAATAATTAATAATGATTGATGATAATTAACAATAATAATAATAATAATAATGATAATGATAATGATAATGATAATGATAATAATAATAATAATAATAATAATAATAATAATAATAATAATAATAATAATAATAATAATAATAATAATAATAATAATAATAATAATAATAATAATAATAATAATAATAATAATAATAATAATAATAATAATAATAATAATAATAATAATAATAATAATAATAATAATAATAATAATAATAATAATAATAATAATAATAATAATAATAATAATAAT